TGAGATCAAACCTACGATAGAAAATTGGACACACAAGAAATTTTATAACAGGAGATCTGAAGTTATTATTACTCGTTTGAGAATTGGACATACTCGGTTGACTCATCAATACCTTTTGAAGGGTGACGAGCAGCCAGTATGCCAGTATTGCAACTGTCCTCTTACTGTAAAACACATACTGCTCGATTGCTCTGTTTTTGAGACCAGGCGTAGGCAGCATTTTGGAAATGCAAATTTTAAACAGATTCTGGGTCAGAGGCCCAATTTTTATGATATATTAGACTTTTTAAAAGTCAATAATTTGTGTAAAGAAATTTAATTAATTATTTATTTATTTATATACCTATTTAATTATTTATTTATTTATCTTTTAGCTTTTTGTTCGTTCTTGTTTGTTATTAATATGTATATATTTGTTTTTTCGTTGCTGTTGTTTATTTGTTTATTTATTTATTTATTTGTTTTTGTCATATGTTTGTTATTTGTGATGTTTATAATTATTTACCATTTGTTATGGTGCAGCTTAGCCTATATGGCTCTTGTGCCAAAAAACCAAAACCAACCAACCAACCTTGTTTGTTTGATTGTAAGGGCCTTCATTTTTATAGTTATAGGGCAGTTTGGGTTAAACGCATTATGTTCCGTCTGGTATCTTTCGTAGTCAGGAAGGTCCTTATTGGCGGTTTTGCAGTTTGTGCAACTGGGAGTTTGATCTAATTTTCTACATTCGCTGAATCGATGCCCCTTCCCACAATGACTATACTTTTGTCTAGCCGAACAGCTGGCAGACTGATGGTTATACCCACAGCATTGGTAGCACCTAGTGAGGGGTATATAATCGTTTACAAAGATTTTAGCCCATTGAATGGCTACATGTTTGGTGCGGATGAGGAGGTTTTTAATATTGGGCGATGTAGAGAGAACCACGTGCCTGCAATTTTCCTTGTTGTTATTTCTGAATAACACAGTGCTGATTCTTGTGTTATCATTAAAGTCGGCTCTATTAATAGTTTGGAGCTCTTCATTTTGTTCGTATATTGTAGATATAATCTCAGATTCGTCAACAGAAATGGGCACGTTCGTCAGGATTACTCTGGGATGTCTGCCCTCGGAAATTCTACTGTTAACTTTTGTAGTGACTTCTGGTAATTTCTTAATAGCCTCCTCCAGGATCTCGGCCTCCCTGTGGGTGTCGGTCCGGAAACAGATACCATCCCCTTTTACCTGCCTAACATTTTTTACTTTGATTTTCAGATTACTGGGTTTAATGTTTTTCATAATACAAGACTCAACCCTCCTCATATCGGTAGTGTGCCCATCTTTGTCCGTCTTGGGGTACAGGAGGACAGCAAAGGTGCCTTCCGAACCCTCGGAATTAACCTTACTCTTTAAAGACTTATTGATGACCTGAGTGGTTGAACTTGGTCTAGTGTTTAGTTTTGCCATGTCCGCGTAAGAGGCAGGAGCCTGCGGTGCAGTATACTGTTGCTGTTGTACCTGGGTCGAAATACACTTTGATCTGAGTTCCCGCAGGATGCCATGAAATTGGCCCAAACAGGAAAACATGCGTGTTAACCTCTCCCTCACCTCTTTGCGCTCCTTGGTCCGAATGTTGGAGCTGTATTTTTCAGGCAGCAAGTCAAGTATTTTCATAAAGTGATTGTTAGCCTCATCCAAAATTGTGTCATCCAGAGGCTTGATAACCACATTAGAGGATGGTCCCCCCACCACAGAAATGCCTGTTGGCTGTACCTGGGTCGGCATAATGACAGCTGAGAAGTGTAAAATACCAACCAGCAGAGTGGAGTGTAATTTAAAGAGTAAAAGTCGCTCTGTGGCAGAAAAACTCTGTCCAAGGAGACAAAGTCTGACAAGGACAGAGGGGAAAAGGCACTGGTTGGTAATAGGTAAAAACAAGATTACTCACCGCAGTGGATCCTTAGGAGAGCAATAATCCTTTGTAAACCAGAGGCCAGGGTGTACCCAAGTCCAGTAAGCAGAGAAAATCCAGTGTTCAAAAGTTCAGTGGAGCAGGAAGTTGCCACAAGTGCGAGTTCCGCAGGAAAAGTTCATCGCAGGGGGAAGCCTTCCAGTAATCCTGTAGGAGAGGATTGCTATAGACATGAAGGGGGAAAGCGAGGCCGAACCAGTGAGGCATAGCCTGGATGAAGAAAGGAGATAGCGTTGAAGGAGGTGGTTGGGTGGGGATAGTGAAGGAAGGAAGGGAGGAAGGAGTAGGGATCCAAGAGGTCTGCATCGGGTGCCATTTATTGAAGATATCGTAGTAGTTTACATGTAATAGGAAGGCATTCCTTAAATACAAATTGATCCCGACAATATATTTACATAATTACAAAAAGGCACGGTCACAAAATAATTTACAGAAGGACCACCAGGGCTTACAATACGTGTCACGATGGGTGGTGACTAGGATGGTGGTATTGCTATAGACATCCAGTAAAAAGAAGTAGAAGGGCTATCCGCATTAAGCAGCAGACTCAGGCCCTTGTAGAAGTAGGAAAGTATGAAGTAGCGGGAAGAAGAAACTAGTGTGATAGGAAAGTGGGAAGGAGTATTGCTATAGACATTTAAACCTTGAAAGAAATAGAGGGCTGTCTGCTTTTAGCTTCAGACTTGTGCCCTGGTAGAAATCGGAAAGAAGGAGTTAGGAAAGTCAGAAGAAGCAGGAAGAGGAAACAAAGTAAGATAGGAAAGTGTGAAGAATAAGTAACCAGTGGGCCCCCCTGGGACCCCATGAGTGTCTGCATCGGGCCGTTTATTAATTTCCATCAAACATTACAAACATATTTACAAAATGGCAACACTTCTGCCACAGTTTCGTATGCCCGACAATTTTGTTTATATATCGTATTAAAAAGTATTTTCCAGTAGTACATTAATTTTTTGAAACAGAATTAAGTTATATACAAATGATTATATATCGTACCACATCTCGTGGTTTCATAACTTAATACAAAGATTTTTAATAAGTGTATATTAATTTTTAAACAGAATTAGGTATTTTAACAATTGAAAATATTGTGTATTGCATCTCGTGGATACCTAGCGTAATGCAATAAATTTAACTATAGTATATTAATTTTTGTTTTAATATAATGTACCACATCTTGTGGTTACATCATAAAACAAAATATTTACTTGTTGTACATAAAATTTTTTGAAACAGGGTTAAGTTTTGTAGCTAATGATAAAATAGCGTACCACCTGTTGTGGTTGACAATTATACATTGAATATTAGCATGTAGATTTCGAGACCTTTGTGATATATTCAGTAACATAATTAGGAAATGTCCCTATACAATTTTCCTATATTTTTGGCGATCCCCAGATTGCCCGACAATTTTTATTTACATTTCGTAACACATTAATTACTTCATTTAAACATTTAATTTATGACAAGACCGTATTTTTTACCTTAGTCTGTTTTATACTAAGATACTAACACCTGTATTATTTTTAGGTAAAGTTTTGTACATTTCTTATTTACCGGTTGCACCGCTTATTATCTGTTAAAGTTCTGTTTCTTCTTCCGTTTCTCCTTCTGATTCATCTTCAGTCTCATCTTCAGTGTTGCTATTTTCTTCTTCATCGATTTCTATGTCGCTCTGCTGTTCTTGTTGTGAGTTGTTGAGTCGTGTCGTTTGTTGGTATTGTATAGTATCTGGTAAAAGAGCTTTTGTTTTTTCGACAAACTGTTCAAAAGTTTTCCATAACTCTCTGTTCTCAAAGAGTTCTCTTAGAGCTGGCGGCCAGTTCAATGCATGTTGTATACATTCCCTATATAGGATGTGTCTCTGTTGTTCGTAATATTCGCAGTGAAAGATGAAGTGTTTTGCATCACCTATACTGATTTTGTCACAGCTACATTTGTTGTTCGTCTTCTTTTTTATACGGTGTAAATAAGCTGCAAATTTACCGTGATTGGTAATGCATTGCGTTGTATTTGGATTAGGCACGTAATGTTTTATTTTTAGTCTTGTAGTTATCGATGGCATGTATTCATAACACAATCTTCCTGTTTTTGACGTATCCCACTCTGTTTGCCACTTTGTTTTGGCCCAGTTTCTTAGTATTGAGTCAAGTCCTGATTTTGGTATTCTGTCATATGTGATTTTTGTGTTTGCAGCCCCTGCCCTTTTTGCTAGGGTGTCTGCTAATTCATTTCCTGCTATATTTGTATGCGCCGGTAGCCATCCAAACTGTATTTTGGTGTTTTTACTAAGGTTATAAGCTTCTGTGATGACTTCCTTGCCTAGAATAGTTGTCTTTTCTATTCTGGTTAGAGTGTGTATCGCAGTCTTACTATCTGTTAAGAATTTAATTCTTCCTTTATACTTATTAATGTTGTCTTTTATTTGAATTATAGCTTTATAGATTGCCCACATTTCTGCTTGTGTAATGCTACAGTGATTATTGCTATAGACATGTTACTAAAGATTTAAGAGGGCTGTCTGATTTTACTCAGACTTATGCCCTGTCGGAAACGGAAGGAAGAAAAAGCATGAGATGTGAAGTGTGACGTAAAGTAAGAAAGGATAGTGTGAATGGAAGGCATGGGACCACCGAGCGCCTGCATCGGCCTTTATTGCAACAATAGAAATCATACAAGTATAAAATAAAACATAAAAAAGGTATACAGAAGAAACCCGACAATGATAAAAATCTTAGTCTAATGATAACAAAATAACACAGTATATACAATAAAGACAATACAAGCACATGGTCGCTTTGACACAGTAGAAAAATACGCTAGCAAAGATACAGGTTATCACATACTATTACGCAACACTATTTACATTGTTTGGGAACCAAACGGTAGAAACGAGCTATGACGAATCCTCCATATCGGTTTCATCGTCTGTGCTCTGATCTTGTTGTATAGTTTCACAGTTTGTTGTGTCTTCTTCGTTGTCTTGTTGATTCACCGTGTTATTCTCCATCAAGGCACCAGTGTTATACACATAGTTCTCGAAGATCTTTCAAAGAGTCTTATCTTTGAATATATTGTTTTCTTTTGGTGGCCATCTTGGGTATTTGGTGAGATAATCCTGCATTAGCTTAGCTCGCTGTTCGTCGAATTTGGTGCAGTGGAAGGCGAAGTGCGTGGCGTCGCCTACCTCTTGGTTGGAGCAGTCACACTTGTCATTGTTGCTTAGTCCGAACCTATGCAGGTACGCCGGAAAGTTTCCGTGTCCCAACAGAACCTGGGTGGTTAGTTTATTGGGGACGTAATGTTTTGCTTTTTCTCTGCACTGAACAGAGGGGATAAATCTAAAGCAGCACCTTCTGGTATCCGCTGTCTCCCACTCCCTCTGCCAGATAGAATCAATGATTGAAAGGATGTAGTTTTTTACGTTGGTTTGAGGAGTGTCTTTAAACGATGAAGTTACGAAGTTCCTGGCTCCTAACTTGGCCAGTTTATCAGCCATTTCGTTTCCTTGGTTGCCACTGTGGCCGCGGACCCAACCAAAAGAGAGATTCCTTTTGGTACCGAGGGTGTTGGTGGCATCGTGTAGCCTTTTTGCTAAGACAGTAGGAAAGTTCAGATGTTTCAGGGTATGCAGAGCGACTTTGCTGTCTGTTAAGACGCAAATGCTACCTTTAAAAATGTCGATGTTGTTTTGTATATGGTTGATAGCTTTTAGTAGTGCGAACATCTCCGCTTGTGAGTTTGAACACCGTGCATCCAAGCTGTAGTAGTGTTGATATGTTGTTCTGTCGCTGTTGTTTTTAATAGTAAAGCCTGCGCCTATTCCATTGTCGCTTTTCGATCCATCTGTGTAGATCTTCCATTTAGTTTTAGTTTTGTTATTTTCTTCATTATCCCAGATGATTTTGTAGTTTATGTCTCCTGCTGGGTGTCTAGTATATTCGTCACGTTTAAGTTTTCTGTCGATTCCATAGTTGTTCTTGGTAATATTGATGATTCTCTTGTCACTTTTTATTTTATTGTAGATTCTGTCGTTTTCGTGGTTGTCATGTTTTCGTTGAGTAGTCTTTGATGTAAGAAACCAGTACCAGTAGATGTATTTCACCTTGAGATGTATTGGTAAGATGTTTGACAATATTTGGAGTGCGTTTGTTGGGGCTGTGTTGTAAGCCTTTTTAATTTTTATCGTAAATTTTCTTTGAACCGCAGTAAGTTTTCTCCTCATGTGTACGTTATCCAGGGCCTCTCTCCACACCTGGACTGCGTACAAAATTTCTGGTTCAATGGCCGCATTGTAAATAAACTTCGTATTGGCATAGTTAAGCATAATGACAAAGTATTGTCATTATGCTTGATAGATATTTTAATAAAACGATGATCACTCCCACCGTTCTCATCAATAGTATAACACTCATGTATAAGATGCTGAGCACTATCACTGGCTAAAACAAGATTGACCCAGCTTTCACCCCTTGTACAACTATATGTAGCAAGGGGGCTGGTGTTACAGGACACCATCTGCTTAGCAAATATAAAGTCGCAGACCTTATGTCCTCTATCATCGTTGATCAGACTGTGCCATATGGAGGACTTTGAATTAAAGTCCCCACAAATGACCCAGTGCTTACTACCTATTTTGACATCAATATCTTGCAAGTCATCCAGGAGTTCCTCAATTTCCTGAAACGGGGAGCAATATACCGATGAAAGATAAATATCCTTATCTTGAAGAGAGAGAAGTACTGTTGTAACCAGTGCCGTACTTAAGTCTGTGCAGAAATTAGCTTTTATATTGGGATTCCTAATAAGGATACCCGTTTTAATAGTTGTACAGAAATTCCTATGTGGAAAAACCTTCCACCCACCAAAACGCACAATTTGATTATTGATTAAGTAAGGCTCCTGTATGCACACCAGATCCGCTGCCTGCTCGTCCACTATCTTTATAATCATGGTGGAGGCAGCCTTAGACCTCTGGGCATTGAAACTTAGCATAACTAAAGTATGACCTGAGCCAGATCTCTGTAAGTGGGAGTCTCCTTGCAAAGTGCCATGTTGGTAATTGTGGAACTGAGTGCGATTTCCGTTGAAATTAAATGCCATAATCAGTTTTTTGTACCGTTTGTGTTTTAATCCTCTGTAGGGTAGTGCATCGGCCACTAAACGCATTGTGATTTGTCAGTGTCTTCCTGCTAGGTGGTTGGTTCCTGTTAAATTTGTCACAGTTTATGCAGAAAGGTGGGTCATCCTTATGTGTACAGTCGACGTGTTTATGATTTTTTGTACAGCGACTACAAGCACATCGTCTGTGCAATCCTTCGCTTAATGCCCAAAACCGCAACAGCGGTAACATCTAAGAACCGGGATGTAATCATCCACGGTGATGTTAGCCCAGGAGAGGGCCACGTGACGGTGCTTGATGATAAGTGCTCTTAGTTCCAGCGTAACAGCCAAAACTATATGACGGCAGTTTGGTTTAGCCTTACCCCTATTGATGATAGTACTGATGCGGCAGGATTTTTGAAATTCCTCCCATTTGATCCTGTTAAACATGTCGTTTTGTCTGTACAGAGTATCAACAAGGATGCTTTCCTCAACAGAATTTGGCACGTGAAGCAGTATTAGCCTGGGCCTTCTTCCCTCAAAAGCAAAACACTTAATCTTATGTTTTATTTCAGGAATTTCCTGTATAGCTTCTTGTAACCTTGCACTTGCTTTGGTGTCCTGTACCCTAATACACAATCCATCTCCCTTCACTTTGCGAAAACCTTTCACACTAATGCCCAGTTCTTGAGGGCTAATCTCCCTCTTAATAGTATTAGCTATATCGTCTATATTGTAGTTCACTTCCGTATTAGGGTCCTCGTCAGCCTTAGGATAAACCATTACTGCACAACTGCTGCCGGTGCCTTCGTTGGCCAACTTATTCGAGAGGGATTTAGCTATGACTTTCGTGGTCTTACTGGCAGCTGGTGCCGCAGCTGCTATTTCCGCGTAAGACTTTGGTCTATTCACAAGTGGGGGTGGGGGTGATAAAGCTTCCCCTGCTCCTGAAGACTGTGTTAGCGTGGCCTGTACTGTGGCCGATCCACCCACTGAATGCAATGCATTCCTACGCATTTCACACAGTATACCATATAATTGGTGGAACGCC